GAGGCTACCCCCTCCCCCTACCTGATTTTAAATAAAAAATTTTAATTGGCTAAAACTATATACCTGATAATTTTTTTACCCCTTCCTCACCTAAAAAATCAGCTATTTTCTGGTACTTCCCTTAGATAGTAGTACATAGTATTATTATAATGATTTATTTCATTATTATAATAATTTATAATATTATTATTTTATTGTATAATATTATCTTATAGTACTATAATATTATTAAAAGATATTTAAATCTTGTCTTTTTTCTTAAGATAAAAGAATATTAATATAGATTCCACACTTATTTCTTTAGTTATTTACATTGTTTTTAGATATATTTGACCTTTTTTTAATTATTTTCTTGTGATAAACCTTATTATTATATATTTTATTAGTAATAAACTATAATTCTATAGTATATTTATAGTAAGTTTATTGTATTTTATTGTAAAATTATTGTTTTATAGTGATATTTTGATTTATACTTGAGTAAAATTAGTTATTTTTGATTTTTGATTAGTTATTTTATAGTATTTTTGTTTTAGTTTTAGACTTTTTTTATATTTTCTTCTATAAATATATTTCTTAACTATTTCGATATATTAAGTCAAATAATATATTTGTTTAACTTAACTGACAATAATATATTTATAATTAATATATTTAAAATTAGATTAAGTCAGACAGATATATTATAATATATTTAAAAAAAAATTAAAGTTATTATTAGTTAGGGTTAAGATTAGAGCTAGTACCGTAGAGCAATGTATAAAGTACTTCCAAAAAATAGTACCCCTTGATTAAGACCCAGATATTATTCACCATACATAAAAACTGGACTATGGTTAGTACCCAAGTACTTTTTAAAGTTAGAACTTATGAAACTTGATTAGTACCTAGGTATTTTTTAAAGTTAGAACTTATGGACATTAATTAGTACCCGGGTACTACTGTACTAATAAAAATAAAATAAAAGTAATTCAACTATAAAAAAATACCAGTATTCTAAAGAATATTTACTATGCACAGTAACTAATAATACCATATTAAATATTCTAATTGTGATCTATATCTATATGCTATTCTGTCATATCTATGTTCTTAGGGATGGCAAATGTTTTAAAACGTGATCTTAAAAAACATGTTTGTTTGATTTAAAACTGTTGAAAATTGTTTTAATACATTATAACGTAATATGATCTGAACATAATCTGAATTGCATTATGATTATTAATAAATTAATCGATATTCAAAAAATAAATTAATCGATATTTAAAAAAATAAATTAATCGATATTCAAAAAAATAAATTAATCGATATTAAAAAAATAAATTAAATAAAAAATTTTTCAAAAATGTTTTATGTTCACGTAAGACCCCTAAAAGAAATCCATTTGAACTTTACAAAAATTGCTAAACCCGATAAACATGGCCGAAAAACACCACACCAAAAATGCAATTATTTCGAAGAAGACTGTGTTGATTCAGTTGATCGATTAAAAGGTATTTATTAAATGTAAAAAACTTCCAAGAAATATAAGAGATTCATTAAAAATTCAGGATCAGGATTCTGGATGTAGATAGTATATTAGAAAGGTTTTTTTATTTGGCTAATATTTCTTTTATGGCTGTTAAAAATCTTTCTGGAAAGAATTTATAGAAGCCTACAACATTATATTAAAACTGTACACCCATTTTATATTAGTTTTAATTGGTAAATAATTTGCTAGATTCAGAATATCAGGTTGAATAGCAAAATTTAGATACTATTCTAACGAATCTAAAACTAGTATATAATGAAAGTTGTATTTGCCGATAGGCAATTATGCATTTAAAATCAATGAAAGTTGTATTTGCTGATAGGTGAAATTATGTATTTAAACTCTTAAAATGATCAAATACATTTCTCATTACTCTTAAATGTAATAAATTCGAAATTATATAACATTGTTTTTTTGAAAATTTCTCTTTAGCAATCAAATTAGCTAAAACTAAAATTAGCTAACCAGAGACGATAATTTTAATTTCAGCCAATTTTTAGAATCAGACACCAATGTTTTAAAAAAAGTTTTAAAACAATAAAAAATGTTAAAAAACTGTTTAAACCATTTTTTTACTATCCCTACATATCCTTTTGTCTGGTTATGCATAATTTCAAGTACGCATATAGAAATAAAATGATGTGTATCGCTAAAGAAGATGGTAAAAGAATGCTTGTAGTTTTAGATAATAAATATGGTTCACTTAGTCAATCCTTATAATTTCAATAAGTTATGCATTTACTATATTTAATATTATTGTTATTTTAATATGCAAGTTCAATTCACTTATTGTATTTATACATATGTTTCAAGAAATCTTCGGTTTTGAAACTTAAATAACTTTTTTAGATCAGCGAAAGGAAATTGACTTCTTATCCTTTATTGATAATGAGAATATTTTAATGGTCAATATCAAATATTACAGAGCATATGTTAAGGAAAAGATAAAACTACTTGGTTTGTAAATCTATAATTGAGCTGAAATATTTTATATTACTTCCAAAGGCAAATTTATCATATTTAATGATACGATTTATGAGACCAATATATAGAACATTGAAGAATTATCAGATAAAACTCATATTTATTATGTATGTTACTCAACCTAAAAAATAAACTAATTATTTGTAGTTTACTAAAATCATAATAATATCACGATCATTATAAGTGCAATAAATTTCAAATACCCTTTTTTTTTAAGCTTTAACAATTCTAAGATCTATTTATTTATTCTTTTTTTTATTCAAATTTTTAAAATGTATTGATATGAGAATATTGATATTAATATATATGCCTGTGGTTTAAGTAAATAGACAAAATGATCTGGCCTGATAAAATAATAAAATATTTTAATTCATTTCATTTCTTATCAATAATGACTAAATTACAATATTTACTCATACTAGTCCCAAATATTAATATAATTTCCCTCTTCATTTTCATAATATTCATTCTCTGGATCACTTTCAATATCTTCCAGAAATGATTCACTATTTTCTTCTTCCTCTTCAATGCCAATTCGTATGCCTTTTACATCTGGAACTTTCTTAAAATCAAAAATCAAATTATCTTCAGAGCCATCAATTACTGTAGAAGCATCACAACACTTGAAAGACTGTTGTATCATTGCAGTGTTAATGTCATCCCATGCTTCTTTGATCCAGGTTGCTACTGTTGAGTATGATGGTCATTTAATTTTTTCAGCTAGTGTATATTCCTTTACTGCTTCATCTATTCATTGATTATACATATGGCGGACCTATATTAAAATAGTAAAATTAAAATCTTTTTCTACACTATGTTTCAATTAATATGCAACACTAAACTAACCCTTGCTTTAAATGCTTTGTTCAAAGATATATCTAATGGTTGCAAGCATGAAGTTAGCCTACCCAGAATCACAGCCATATCTGTATTCCTCTCACAAAGCGACGCTTTACAGGATCTGTTCTATGAGCAGTAAATGTATCAAGAACAAGAAGCAAACATGGATTTGACCCTAAATTAGCTCGTCGACGCCACACATTTTCCACCCACCAAATCATTTCTTTTTCATCCATCCAACCACTTAGATTTGTACGAACATATATACCATTGGGAAACTGCTCTCGTGGTATATTAACTAACTTAAAAATAATAAGTGGAGGAAGTTTGGTACCATCTGCAAGGCAGGCAAGGGTTACAGTAAAACTAGTGTGTTTATGACCCGTGGTAAGAACAGAGATGGTTTGTTTTTCACATTTTTCAACAGTTGTTTGACTGGGTAGATTAAATGATATTGGAGTTTTATCCATATTGCCAATTAAATTTAAAGAGTAGTTATGTTGAGTTCGACGATGAAGAATATATGCCAAAAAATTTTGTTGTAGTTCATTATATTCTTCAGATAACTTATGAGCAGTTGTAGTACGTCGACGGTTTACTAATCTATAACATGATATAAATCTATTCACCCACTTTTGTGTAAATTGACATTCAAGAACATCAGGATACAGAGTACAATATTCTTGTTTTTTAGCCAAATTACGGGCTTTTGCACTAATCATAAATCTGGTCACAGTTTTAAGTTGTCCTCGTAACCCACGAAACTACTCTTTAAATTTAATTGGCAATATGGATAAAACTCCAATATCATTTA